GGGGACCGGCCCCGCTCGCCCCTCGGGGACTGCCCACCCTTCCCCCCGTGCCGAGACCCGTAGGAAACTTCCTGGACATCTTTCTCGGAAATGGGTCTCTTCCCGTTTGGGGAGACACGTCTTCCTGCATCTTAGGGGCAGTGGACTTCACACACGCGCGCGCGCGCGCACGCACACACACACACACACACACACACACACGCGCGCGCGCGCAGAAGATACTTTGGTTTTTGTTGTTTTTAATTCACAGTTTTGGAGATTGATGAACCTCGGTGGAAGCTTAGTTAACAGGGTAAACACACACACACACACACTAAGGGAAGTAATAGTGTCTATCTAAGTATGCCTAGATATCCCCCCCCCCCCCCCCCCGGTGCCCCCGCTAACCCTGGTGTAAACCAAGGGCCTAGAAGGCGTTTCCTAGCTGCTTGTCAATTGCTGATAATGAAGGCAATTGTTTTCAAAGTTGCCGAAAACTTCAGGGAGAAAGCCTTGCCTCCACTGTGCCCTTAATGCAGAGGAAGCGAGACAATTCCTCGTAGCCCCCAAAAGCAGTGGAAGTAATTGCAAGATTTGCAATCTCGCAGCCTCTGGAGAGTAAGAAATGTCACTTCTAGTATAAATCAAGTTTTGAGGAATGCTTTTAGGGTGCTCGCCTGAGTGTCTTTTTCCAGGGCCAAAGCTCAGCCTAGATGCTTGACTACCTAGTCATTCAACTTTATCTACTCTGCCAAATAGGTTTAATAAATCTCCAATCTGAGGCTAATATTAGGTCTGATTATTATTAGTAAGTTCCAGAGAGATTTTTCTGGTGGAAATTATCTTGAAAGTGCAAAGCCCTTCTGCTAAGTATCATTAAGTGAAACCAGCCTAGTGGGACACGTTTTTATATTGTATTACACACTACTGCTAGATTGAGAAGAAAGACCTGAAGGAGAATCTGGCAAGATACTGCAGATATCAAACGCCTATGGTTTTAGCGTCTATTTGGGGGATTTCTGTCCTTCAAACCGTCAAAATGAAGGTTGCAAAAGAAAGAATAATTATTGCTTATATAATCAGGCAGAGGACATTTTAAATACCAATTTGAATACTCATTTTTTAAATTCTAGCATCTTTAAATTAATTGTATTGATTTGTAATTAAAATTGCATCGTTTTGATCAATTCACCCTGTGTACCTATGAAAAACATTTTTTTAAAAAATCATTCAAACGGTAGGTAATTATAATGTCTTGTACAGAAATCAGCTGCAGATAGGCATGATTAAAGAGGACCAACTTAGCCGGGCTCGGTGGCTCTACCTGTAATCCCGCGCCTTTGGGAGGCTGAGGTGAGTGGACTGACTGAGCCGGCGGGTTCGAGACCCGCCTGGGCAGCGAGACCTCATCTCTACAATAAATAAAAAAATCAGCCGAGTGTGGTAGCACATACCTGTAATTCCAGCTACTTGCAAGACTGAGGTTGAAGGATCACCAGAGCCTAGCAGGTCGAGGCTGCGGTGGCCGGGAGTGGCCACTGCACTCCAGTCTGGGCGACAGAGTGAGACTCCAACTCAAAAAAAAAAACATGACCAACTTAGAAAAGATGTAATTTTCCTTGAAGTTTAGTCACAGAAACTCAAATGAGGAAAGGGACCCCATAAACAAAGACTACATTTTAATTTTCTAGTTCATTTTCGATTTGTTAATAATGTATAATAAGCAAAACAAGAAGACACAAGATCTTAGTGAGTTACAATTCAGCTATGGTTTCTCTTGTGAATGAAAATTTACTTATTTGGGCCTTCATTTTATTATCTACAAATGAGGGAATTAAGCCAAATAGTCTTTAAAAAAAAAAGTTTAATGATTTTCTTAAACAGAACACATAAATCTATCATGAATCGTGGTACTTTTAGTATTTTCCTGAAGTGTATACACTAAAATGAAATTTTAGCTCCTAAAGTGAAATGTTAGAAATTTAACCAGACACATATTCACATATCACTGAGTGATTGTTCAAAGGATCCAGGTAGATTTTGTAGAAGGAAGAAGAGAAGAATGGATACAACTTTGAATATAGACCTCTAGGCTACAAGAGGCCTGTTCATCTAGGAGATGGTGTTAGCGTTTTGGCTCTACTTGTGTGTGGAGCGAGGTTTTTACCAGTATGTTCTGGTAGATTGGAATGGGTATATTGCTAGAGAGCTTTATTTGCTGATGTTGTAGTTATAGAAATACAAAAGCAATAATGGCTAACAGTCTCTCTACTGAGGGGTAGGGAGAAAATACATTCGCTGTAATCAAAATTCAGGTGTACTTTAACCACAGCGCCACCTCTGGGTGGTCTTTATTTCTGCATCATTTGCATTTAGCAGTCCTGGTCGCCAAGACTTTGTCTGAAAATACCTGCTTGAGTGAAGTAACAATCTCAATCTTTTATTTCCACTGATGCTAAACACAAAAACTGTGTAAACCCACACAAGCTCATATAGCTAAAGGAGTTCCATATCCGGGTATTCTTCAAACAAATATACAAACAGTGCTCAAAGAAATATTCCTGAGATAGGGTGGGATTGCCTAACTCAGAATATTATACCGTGCCCAGCAGTTCAAGAAACCTCTGCTGACGTGAGACATTTATCATTCAGCCTGCTCATTTGCAATGAGAAATAAGAATATGGTGCTTTGGAAAGAAAGACAAACTCAAATGGTTTCTTTCTTTAATCCTAATTGAATGTAGGAACCGTATTGGTCCCAGATCAAGCCCCTCATTTCTCCA